CATTCCACAAGCTAGAAAGCGCTAGCGCGCATGTGCCAGCTGCATACATTTTTTGTTTTTTTTTTTTTGTTTTGCTCTTGCGCGCCAATGCTATTTCTTGCTTAAGCGCTCAGCTGCTCAACTTGGATCGCTGAGATTGCCGAGCTTCGTATAGACTTCTTTTGTTGTCTGAAGATATCTCGCTTTGGAGCAAATCAATAAATATATACGCATCTCCAGCAGCGTGCCGCTCAACGCTCAGCGCTCAAAACTCGGCTTAGCGCTCACCACCTCAGCGCTATCGGCTGCTGGTGGTAACCCTGCACGCTGCCGCTGATACCACGGCAATGATTATCGTTCAACGCCAGTATTATTTTTAAGTGGGCGTAACCAAAAACTCTCTGGCGCCACCTTCGTTGTTGACGATGTCTGTACAACAATAACAACAAATGGAATGAAAACCACCACAGCGTTTGCCGCTGTTTTGTTATTGTTGAATTGAATTTTGACTTCATTTGCTATGCTTTGTTTTTCTGCTGCTGCTGTTATTGTTGTTGTTCACAGTTTATTTCTGTATACAATTATTTTCAATTTCGTTGCCCGCACTGCGCCGCCGCGCGTGCGGCTTAACGCTTACAATCAGCGGCTTTGCTTTTGTTACGGCGGCGCTTAAATCGGATTTCGAATCAGATACAATTTCAGTCTGAGCTAAAGCTGGGATTTCAGTTCGAAGTTGTGTTCGGATCGATTTGTGGTACAGCGCAGCAGGCGCGTATGAGTACGCGAGTGTATCAGTGGCGCAGTGGCGCAGTCGCGCGCGCGTCCCCTACGTTCCAAGCGTTCATTCGTCGAAAATACGTATGCATGAAGGTGCGCAGCTTCAAGCAGATAAACTCAAACGCACGCACACACACACACATACAAGTGCAGCCAGACATTCAGTTGGTTGTTAAATATTTCGGCTCGTAAAATTCATTTTATTTTTATGAAATTATTATTCTTCATAAAATTAAAATTATGGCTTCATTTCGGCGAATTGACACAAAATGCTATGGCGTCAATGTTTTCGTATGCGCTTTATCAAATCTCCATAACTCGTAAGACATTAATCGGTATGTAAATAAATACATTGCATACTAATTGTTAATTTAAGCTTTCTAACTAAAAACTGGCTTCCCTTACAAATGCTTTGTGTAACTAATTCTTAATCTAAACTAGAAATCTGAAATTTTTAATTTGTATGTAAATATGTATGGATAAGTTATGTTTTCTATTTATAGACTTTTAATATGTACATATGTAAGCCTAGATTCGTTAAGGCGTATCAAATAAATTTTAACGACGGTAGTGGGTTTTGTTTATTTCTTCGCTTAAAACTAAAAATAGCACCAGTCTTTTGTAATACTCTAATTAAGTACATAAGTCTGTCTGGGCGAAAGTTTTCCGTTATTTTAGCACTTTCCACCACTTCGTTGCCTTACTTTCTGCCTTGCAACGAACATGGATTCTATGTACACTGGGTTTGATTGGGAAATCTGATGAGCACTAGACAGAGTAGAATTTTGGCTGGGTAATAGCAGAACTGGGTAATTTTTGATTGATTGATTAAATTGTACACGACTACGATTACTTTAATTGTAATCATATATGTTACCATTATGATTATAATAATTGTAATCTTAAAAATTTAAGGACTAAGATTACTGTAATCGTAATCCTGAAATACATGATTGCAAATACCGTAATTGTAATCCTAAAAATTTTGGGATTACAATTAAAGTAATTGTAATCATGAAAATTACGATTACGAATACTGTAATTGTAATCCTAAAAATATTATGATTACAATTAATGTAATCGTAATCAAGAAAATGTTGATTGCGATTTTCTGATTTTCTGTAGAGGTTTAGTAGTTAAATAAATGAACGGAACTTTGTTCTACTACACCGAAAATTATGTAAAATTGATTTAAAGTTGAAGTAATACAGTTACAAAGCGTCCGCTGTGGTTAGCAGTGCGCGCTACCATTCCGACGGGCCTCTATTCCAGTCCGGTTCAACCCAACATCAAAAAATAAAAACAAAAATCGTTTTTTTCTAATAGCGGTCGCCCCTCAGCAGGCAATGGCAAACCTCCGAGTGTATTTCTGACGTAAAAAAAAACAGCTTGTGAAAATACAATCGCCTTTCGGGTCGGCGTAAAAATGTAGGCCCCTCCCCTTTGTGTGACAACATCAAGGCGGACAGTTAATCAGAATAAATTTTATTGGAAATACTGCGATCACAAGTCTGTGTAGATTATTACATCAATTTCAAACAAATATGCGAATTCATAACTTAAAACCATTTTGGTAAATAATAATCAATATTTGCTCTGAGCGAAAGTAATTTCTCGATTACTGTAATCGTAATCATGAATTGCTTGATTGCGATTACTTTAATTGTAATCCTAATTGTAATCCTAATTTAATGATTACGACTACTGTAAGCGTAATCCTATTTTTCATGATTACAATTACGGTAATTGTAATCTTAAAATTTTTATGATTACGATTACTATAATTACTATAATTGTGATCATAAAAAGTACGATTACGATTACAGTGGTCGTAATCGTTAAATTTTAAGGATTAAAATTAAAGTAATATTTTTAATTTATTCAAGTTCAACCTACTGGGCTTAGCCCTCACAGGTTTCGATGGTACATAATTAAACATATTTAATAACATTAAGGTATAAATTTATAAGAATTAAGGCTAGGAAACAAATTTAATTCATAAAATAATATTTTAAGTAATTTTTGAATGACTCTCTGATCATGTCGATATCAACTTGCAGAGTACATTTTCGGAAATTTAGCATTAATCCGTTACATTTCCATCATAATATGAGGGAGTTAATGTCATTCTGCAGAGCTACGCAGTCTTCAGGGAGCTTAATAAGATGATAAAGCTTGAGATCGTCGGCGTAAAGTAAACATTCACTAAGTTTGAAGACCTTAACGACACCATTGATAAAGATAATGGAGAGTAATGGGCCTAGATGGCTACCTTGGGGTACACCAGAAGTAACTGAAATTGCCAGAGAGAGAGAGAGAGACTGTCACCAACTTTGACGATTAACTTCCTGTTCTTCCAGTAGGACTCAAGCCAAGTTAAAGCGTGTAGGTCATGGCCTAAACTGTTAATCGCAATCAAGCATGTTATAATTACAATTACAGTAATCGTAATGCTGAAAATTTTCGTAATTACAATTACAGTAATCGTAATCCTAAGTAATCAAAATGTAATCGTAATCATAAAGTGCCCAGCTCTGGATAATAGGCATACATAGTCTTTCACTACTTCAGTATACAAAGTCTCTGTGTGTGTTTCGCTAGCAGAGCTCGAAAAT